AAATATTATCACAATAAAATCAGCAATTATTATGGGTATCAAAGCACCAATTTTTAGTTGCATGTTGTTAGATTGTGGAGAAAAACATATTCATCATTATTCACCAAAAGATATGGAACATCATCTTAATACCAAACATACTTCATTTTTTGAACAAATTATGGCAGAACATGACAAGGTCCAGGTATGTTTAGAGGAAAATATAAATTTATTTGGTGATGATGATAAATGCAAAAATCAAAAATCACAAGAAACATGTCAGAATGAACATAGTAGATCTATTGAACACCAAAGAAAACATGAAGGAATTAATAATGGTAATGAACATCAAGAAAAAAGACCTCAAACTAATAATCAACTTCAAAAACCACAAGAAACATACCAGAATGAACATAGATCTATTGAACACAAAAGAAAACATGAAGAAATTAATAATAGTAATGGACATAAAAAAAAAGGCCTTGAATTAATAATTGACTTCAAAAATCTATCAAATGAATGAAGATCTGTTAAATCTTATTACAAAAAAATTACTTGCATGTAAAAAAAAAATTAGTATTTTTATTATAACAAATAATGCATATGTATATATGTATATATATATATTAATTAAATTATAAATAAAAAAAAAAATTTCCTTTTGCATCTTCACTACATGAAACATTTTTTATAGATTATAAATGATTGATAGACAGACAATGGTAAATTAATTATTGATCCAGTTATTTATCACTTCACATTCATCATATCAATTTTTTTTAATATTACTGTTTCTGTTGAGAAATTTTGGACATTTTTTCAATTAAAAAAAATAACCCCCATTTATTCAATCAGTAAAAATTTTTATGATAATAACAAGCTCACAACTGAGAACGCTTATGGTTTTCGTGTTACAAATCACGCACACCATGTTACGCGAGAACAAAAATTCTTTTATTTTAAGTTGGGTTTGGGATTGCATCTTCTTCGTCGCAAAGAGCAAAAAAATGACATCGCTCGGGCCAAGACACAATAGTCTATTTTGTAAACCAAAACATATAAATAGGACAGCCGTTTTTTTTGAAAAACTTGAGTATTTTCATGAAACAAAATCGGATCTTAATCTTTATTGTCATCCTCAAAAAATGATGATTCATTGTTGTTTGCTACTTGTTTAAAACAATAATTGTTTATATTAATCTTTTTATTAGAATTACATATATCCGAACACAATAAAACATAATAAAAATGAATAAATGTATTTTCACAATACAAACAAGAATATTCTTTCCAAATTATCAGGCAATAAATTATACAACCCGATGATACAAAAATGAAATAATAAAATATCACGACAAGAATTTCTAAATCATCAGATATAACGTATGATAAAAAATCATACGTTACTAAAAGTAGTAATGATGATCTTTTATTTAATGAAAATGTCGCATTTATCGAGAACAATTTACTTATCCTAAAAAGAGGGGTTGGCTTACAACTTATCGCGCGACTTTACATAGGTTGGCTGACTTATCAAGGGATTTTTAAATAGGGAAAAAAAGGGCTGAAAATTTTTGGCCGAGTTAGGCCAAAACCGACTTATCGAGGGACCAATTTATCGAGTCTACCTATGTATATATAAAAATAAAAATTGATCTAACCTACCTAAATGTTTAAAAATATTTTTTTGGTATAATTAAAGAAATGACTTTAAGGTATTTATAACGTTAAAATTTGTATAAATTTAGTAATGAACCAGAAATAGAATCACAAGAAATTAATAACGAAAATAATGAAACCAGTTCTAGTCAAGAAATCTTAAAAGCTACAAACGAAGCTCATGTTATTGGTGAACCAATTGCTACAGCTACTGCAATCGCAGCTGTAGCCTCAGCCACAACTACAACCACTAATGCTGATACTGATGCTATTACTGCTGCAACAAGTACTACAGCCACCATAACTAATAAAAATAATTCAACCTGGTCTTTTACTGTTAAAAATAAAGTTGAAAAATTTGTTGGTGAGCATTTACCTGAATCATTGATACATGATAAAAAAATTGTCAATGCATTTAACAAGTTAAATAAAAATGTCAAATCCAAGCTTAATGATAAAGAGCTACATCCTGAACTTGACTGGGATGCAAATGTTAGATTATCAAATGATCTTTGTGACAATGAAAAAATTTTCATCAAAGAACGAAAAAACCATATTCGTGAATCTTTTGCAAAATATGTTGGTGTTGATGTTGAGGAAATTGATGTGGATGATATCCCTGTTATTGG